TGAGACAGAGTTTATCAATAACTGTGGAGCCAGTCCTGAAACTTGTTCTGTAGACCAGGCTGGCCTTGAACTCACACCTGCCTCACCTCCTGAGCCTCCACCTCTGTGGTCATTTTTTTTTTTTTTTTTTTTTTTTTGGTTTTTCGAGACAGGGTTTCTCTGTGGCTTTGGAGCCTGTCCTGGAATTAGCTCTTGTAAACCAGGCTGGTCTCGAACTCACAGAGATCCGCCTACCTCTGCCTCCCGAGTGCTGGGATTAAAGGCGTGCGCCACCATCGCCTGGCTCTGTGGTCATTTTTTTTTTTGGTTTTTCGAGACAGGGTTTCTCTGTGGTTTTGGAGCCTGTCCTGGAACTAGCTCTTGTAGACCAGGCTGGTCTCGAACTCACAGAGATCCGCCTGCCTCTGCCTCCCGAGTGCTGGGATTAAAGGCGTGCGCCACCACCGCCCGGCCTGTGGTCATTTTTTAAACATAATTCTTTATTGATTTTTGGGAATTTCACATTATGCACCCCAATCCCACTCACCTCCCAGTCTCTTCACATCAGTCCCTCACTCCTGCAGCATGCCCCCCAAAACACTCCCTCAAAATTAATTAAAAAGAAAAGAAAACAAACAAAAAGCCACCTTGCTCCTCTGTCTTTCCAACACCTATTCATTCATCCTAGTGGCATTGGGACCCCCAACATCCTGCTGAGTCATGCATAGTCAGCCCATGGTTACCATTATGCAAAAGGTAAAAGATAAACAACAGATAGCTTCATAAACAGAGAGCAAAACATCATCAGATCAGGTGCTCAAACATTCAGCAGAATTGGAATGGGCAAGATTCCTTAGCACAGTCAATGGCAGGTCCTGAAGAGAGCAGAGTAGCCCCTTGGAATCATATCCAAATTAAAAAAACAAAAAACAAACAAACAAACAAACAAACAAAAAACAATGGCAGAAAAGTGTCAGCGAATTAGGGGCTCACACACATCCAGTAGCTCCTGCAAAGCTGAGTAGCCAGTCAGGGGAGGCATCCTCCTAAAGAATAAAGACAGTTCTGAAGCCACCCAGCAGAGACCAACTGGGGAAGCTGAGGCAGTCGTGGGGCTTCTGGTTGAGCTTTCTCACCACGATGAGCCCCATGGTTCAACCCCCAGCTTCTCTTTCCCAGCGAAGGCATTTTTATATCATGGAATAAAAACTATGGTCACTTCTGTTGGAAACGGTTCACTTTCTGCCTTTCTCAAGGACACAGTTCTTTTACTCTGGCTGTTTTCTTCCTGGCCCATCCCCAGGCAAGGGATCTCAGAGGTCACTTTTGTTATGCCCAGACTCGCAAAGTCCCCCAAAAACCAACAAGGAGATCAAGTCCCATATGTAAAAGCAAAGAGCCTTTATTTTATGCAAGTTTGCAAACTCAGCCTCTCCACATGTCCAACGTATTGGAATAAACAGAGTTTATTCAGTTAGAGTTGGGTTTTTATAGTAGTAAAGGTGGAGGTGAGGGGTTTCTGAGGTTCAGGACCCCTGATTGGCAGACATTTGTCTAGGGGTGTCCTGGTAAGTGTGCTGGCAGGTAATCGTATCTACTACATTGGAGTTGGAACATTAGGCATTTCCTTTGGATGGTCTGTTCTTGGGTTGTGGTTCTTCCTGTGTAGACCGCCTTGGTGGGTCACTCAGTCTAGGGGTGTAACCCGCCTAGCAGGGTCAGTTATTCCAGGGTCCTGGAGAGGCGCTATCTGGAAGATATGGGCGGGTGAAAGGAAGGAGGCCAAGCAGGGTTCTTGTCAAAGTCTCCATTTATTAGAGTATGGTTACAGCTTATATAGGATGAGGAATTTGGTCCACGTCGGTCACGTAGGCCAGGAGGTTACAATAGGTCAGGTCACGATTCCTCGGCCACGAGTTCACACACCTAGTTCTCTAGATAATTGGAGTGTGGGGCGGGTTCCACTAACAGATAGCTCTCTATTAACAGATAATTGGGTGTGGGGTAGGCTCTGTCAATAGAACAATTGTTAGGGTGTGGAACTCCTTGCAAACCCCTCAGGGTGATGGTTCCTGTAATGATTTTTAGGGGGAGATGGCTCCTGATATTCCTGCAACCAGGTATTGCTTCAGGGTAAACCACTGAGACTCCATTAAGCTATCAATATCACCTACTCTGGCAGGTGATAATGGTTGGAAGTAAAGAGTAGTCTTGCATATTGAAAACGCTGAACTTATACCAGATGATATAAAATTGACTTCATTATTTATCCAGGTGCAAAGTGGAATCAGGAATAGGCTTTGTCCTATATACATAACACACATCCGATCCCATACGGGTCTGTCAGGTCCTCTAGCACAAGGTAATGCAGAAATTGATCAATTATTAATTGGAAGTGTGTCGCAGGCCTCAGAATTTCATAAAAAAAAATTATGTCACAAAAACCACAGAGAAACCCTGTCTCAAAAAACCATATATATATATATATATATATCAATAGCAAAAGTTTAAAGAGTTTTCTATTACATGGCAACAAGTTAAGTAGATTATAAAGAAATGCCCTACTTGCTCTTTCTATAACCAAACACCGCTGCCTGCAGGGACTAACCCAAAGGGTACTCAAAGGAATAAAATCTGGCAGATGTATGTGATCCACTTTGCAGAATTTGGCAAATTAAAATATGTAGACCACACCATTGACACTTATTCAGGTTTTCAGAGGGCAACTGCTTTAAGCTCAAAAAGGCTGATTCAGTAATCACACATTTATTAGAAGTTATGGTCATCATGGGTATACCTGCACAAATAAAGACAGATAATGGTTGAGCATATGCCTCTAAGAAAATGAAATCGTTTTTTGCTTATTATAATATTAAGCATATTACAGGTATACCACAAAATCCTACAGGCCAAGCAGTTTTAGAAAGATCAAAACAAACTATAAAAGATGTTAAACAAACAGAAAGGGGTGGAAAATACCCCCAGAAATAGGTTACATAATGTTTTATTAACCCTGAATTTTCTTTTTTTTTAAATATTTATTTATTTATTTGTTATGTATACAATAGTCTATCTGTGTGTATGCCTGCAGGCCAGAAGAAGGTATCAGACCTTATTACAGATGGTTGTGAGCCACCATGTGGTTGCTGGGAATTGAACTCAGGACCTTTGGAAGAACAGCCAGTGCTCTTAACCTCTGAGCCATCTCACCAGCTCCACCTTGAATTTTCTTAACGCCAATGAGAAAGGGACAACAGCAGCAGAAAGACATTGGATAATGGAAAAGTCTGCTGAACTAAATCAACCGGTTTATTTCAAGAATGTGTTGATCTCACAATGGAAGCCAGGAGATGTGCTACGTTGGGGAAGGGGTTTTGCTCTTATTTCCACAGGAGAAGAAAAACTATGGGTACCATCAAAATTTATAAAGATTAGGTTTGAAAAAGAGAAACCTCTTGAGAAAGAGAAATGACAGCTCATCCACAACGGTGACAACCATACAAGTGGTAAGGAAAGCATATAGGGTTGGGGCAGGGATCTGCTCTTATCTTTACAGGAAAATACACATCTTCAAAAATTCAAGAGACCCTAGATGTTTGAATGCTGACAAGGTACATGGTATCCAGAAATGGATAAGCAGGAAACAAGGAAAAAGACTGTCAAATCTTACCAAGACAGGGTAAGATGGTGTTGAAAATCTTCCTGCCTCTGAAAATGGTCTGTCAGTTACACTAGGCCTTAGCCAAAGTTGTTTGTCATTTACAAAGGTCACATTCAAAAATGATGCAATTGGGCCATCCAGTTAAAATGCCTACGGCCAAGGCTGAGAACCTGAACCCAACGGCTAGGACCCACATAGAAAGAACTGACTCCTGCAAGGTGTCCTTTGGCCACCACATGTATATGCCCACACACGTACACATGAAGATAAATGGACAAACTGTATAACTGAATCACAAAGAAATTGCAAAAATAGTCTAGTGTTTGAGAGTTATGATTTTTGTATTGGGCTACATACACAGCTTCCCAGGGGCACATGTGGGCTACAGGTTGGACATGCATGACACAGGTTTACCTGAAGACCCTTTTGGGAGAAGACAGAACACACCAGGAAAGCGTTCTGAAGTCCTTTTGGTAAGTGAAACTTAACTACAAAATAACACTATTAATTCCATACAACTTTGCTGACATTTCCTTTCAGAAATAATGGCATCAATCATTGTGCCTCTTTTTGCTAAAAAGGTGGCGCACGCCTTTAATTCCAGCACTCGAGAGGCAGAGACAGGCAGATCTCTGTGAGCTCGAGCCTGGTCTACAGAGGGAGTTCCAGAACAGGCTCCAAAGCTACTGAGAAACCCTGTCTCGAAAAACAAAACAATCAAACAAACAGCAATAAAATATATATTTTGATCTGGGAGTCCATTGATCTATTAAATCAAGTTATGATCAACTTTTTTTTGTTCTTTATATCCTAATACCTTAAATTGTTGGTTTTATAAAATAATTTATTTATGTGGGGGGGAGGGGTGTGTACATGAGGCCAGAAGAGGGTGCCGGGTTAGAATTACAGGCGGTGGTAAGCTGCACCATATGGATCTGGAAACGGTCCTCCGGAGATAAGAACATGAAATATACAGTGACCAATTCTTTTCTTTGTTTAAATTTCTGACATGGGCTTCTCGAACTCACGATCCTCCTGCCTCAGCCTCCCTGGTCATGAGATTACATGCTTGCACTACATTGCTCACTTGGAGTAGTTAGTTAACAGGTTCAGAAGATTTTTAAGGTTGAAGACGATATTATACTGGTTATTTCCCCTCCAGCAGCATTTTAACAAATGAAAACGACATTTGGATATTATGAAATTATTTGTATGTGTCTGCAATGAAAAGAGCCAAAAACAACTTGAACGACGGAGAATCCACTTCGGCCACAAATTGCTAGATCGCCAATGTAGCAGTGGCCCACCGTCTCCGGAAGTGGACTCGGAAGTAGGGCTTCACCGCCCGCGGCCTGCTGGGACTTGTAGTTCTAGTCCTCGATGATGCCGCGGAGTCCTGCGTTTCCAGGTGTGAATCCTACCTACGGAGGTGAGCAGGGCTGGGCTGCCTTAGGGGCAGACAGTAGTGTCTTGGTCCAGACGAGGGGATGCCGCAACCCGGAGCCAGGCTCAGATGCTGGGAACGCGCCCTGTGGCCGTGGCCCCACGTGCTAGCAGCCGCGGTACCCCGAATCACGCCCCGGGACAAGGCCACCCCACGGAGGCCAGGCTCCTCCTGCCACAGAGCAAACCGCTGCTCTGAGGACACCCTCGAGCTCTGGCCTGGGCGAATCTGAGGACTTCGTGGTTAGTTAGCTAGCCTTCTCCGCTCCTGTCGAATGACTTGGCCTTTTCCCAAAGATGGTGTTGCTGGACATCAGGAGACCACGAAGGACTCCTGAGAGATCCCGAGGGGTACCGAGGTTTAGGCTGCGCAGCACTACCACCTGCATTCTGGAAACCCGTTAGATTTCTAAGGAGAAGAGGTCAGGGAAGGGGTATTGTGTAGCTGGAATACACATTTAGAGAAGACACATAGAACCTGAGAAAGCCTATTCCAGAACCTAAGCACAGAATTAGGGAAATCTGAGGAGATGGGCATGCCCTAGAAAACTATCTTTCGAATAATCTGCCCCAGCCTGAGAATGTGATGAAGTTCAGGGGTGGTTTGGAGTTTCGCCAAAAATACCTCGTCTCTGAGCTGGACACAGGTTTTCTTAGAACAAAATAGACATTCGCATTGAGTATCTGCCTAGAGTCAGATCGTGTACCATGTGATTTTTCTCTTTATTGTCACGCTTCATTATGAGATTGGCTATGCAATACAAAGGGAAACAAGGGCTTTGGGGCATTAAAATGTATTAACCTAGCAAATCATATCGTCCGGTTCTGCATAGTGTCCACTGACTGCGAAGTTCCACGTTAGCTGTCACTACACTGCCTCGCCACCGGGTGGAGCCCTACTTAAAGCATCCAGGTTCTCCTGAAAGGTTCCAGAGCGTTTTTGCAGCTAGAAGCTGACTTTTTCCTTTCAGACATTTCACTCGTGTGTTCGATTTTCGTTGCTAAGACCGAAAAATCTTAGGTAATGAGTTTGTAAGGAGTGACTAGTTTCTTCTCACAGTACAGTCGTTTTAGTCTGTCAGTGCTTGACCCGATTTCGGACCTATGAAACACGAGTGTGTTCACTTCATGTGGGATAGGACCTGGATCCCAATATCGTTTTTAAGGGCACTCCCACAGTGACCTAAATTCTTCCTACTAGGTCCTACCCCCTAAAGACTTCACCTCCTCCCAATAGTGCCAGAAGTTGGCCACCAAGCCCTTTTTTTTTATTTTTTATTTTTTAGATTTTCGAGACAGGGTTTCTCTGTAGTTTTTGGTGCCTGTCCTGGAACTGTTTTTTTTTTTTTTTTTTTTTTAAATGCTGCAAGATCCCCGGTGGCAGTAGGCAGCAGAAATGCTGTAGGTCCCAAATGGTGGCGGCAGGCCATGTGGTGGCAGGCAGCGGGCCCTGGGAGCAGCCAGTCCCAGGCAGAGACGGCTGCTGGTCCCAGAGCAGTGGTTGGTTCCAGGCAGGGAGACACATTGCGGGCGGGCAGAAGACAGAAACATGGATAGACACGACATGCAGGGTGAGGTTGAATGTTTATTCAGGGGGTTATGGAGGAGGAAAGGTGAAGGGGGGACAGAGAGAAGGGGGGGAAGAGAGAGAGAGAGAGAGAGAGGAGAAAGACACAGAGAAGGGGGGAAGCTGAGAAGTGGGGAGAGAGGCAGAAGCGAAGCTGCCTCTCCGAGAGGAAGATGGAAAAGAGAATGAGCTCAGGCCAGAAGCTGAAGATCAGCCTGCCTCAGTGGATGGGGAGGGGAATCGGTGTGGCTTGTCTCTTAAAGGGACCAAAACCATAACAGGAACTAGCTCTTGTAGACCAGGCTGGCCTCGAACTCACAGAGATCCGCCTGCCTCTGCCTCCCAAGTGCTGGGATTAAAGGCGTGCCCCACCACCACCCGGCCCACCAAGCCCTTTGAGAACCAAGATCAAAACTGTAGCTCATTGGAGAGCATTCAAAGTTAGTATTTGCTACATCTGAGGCTTGGGAAAACAAGATTAACTCAAGTTTTTTGCCAGGCAGTGGTGGCACAGGTATGCAAATCTCTTAAGAGTTCGAGGCCAGCCTGATCTACAGAGTGTGTTCTAGAGCAGAACAGAAACTCTGTCTTGGGGTGGGGGGACTGGAGAGATTAAGAACACTGTCTGCTTTTCCATAGGACCCAGGGTTCAATTCCCAGCACCTTTGTGGCAGCTGTCCATGGCTCAGTTCTAGGGGATCTGACACCCTCATATAGACAGACATACAAGCAAAATACCAATGTACATAAAAGTAAATTAAAAAAAAATTTTCAAAGAACTCACCCTTTTGGTGAGCAGATTATGTGTGTGCAAAAAAATAATATGCAATTGATGGTTAATCTTAACACTTGGTTGAACTGCGAGATTTCTGTTTTTGTTTTTTTTTTTGTTTTTTTTTTGTTTTGTTTTGTTTTGTTTATTTTCGAGACAAGGTTTCTCTGTAGCTTTTGGTTCCTGTCCTGGAACTAGCTCTTGTAGACCAGGCTGGCCTCGAACTCACAGAGATCCACCTGTCTCTGCTCCCCCAGTGCTGGGATTAAAGGTGTGCGCCACCACCGCCCGTACTGCGAGATTTCTAGGAATCAGTAAAGCACACTTCTTGAGTTTCTGAGTCTTTCCAGGCATTAGATCCTCTAGGCTCATGAATGTCTCATTGGTGAATCTTTCAGGCTATTAGAAGGTGGTAAAACTGCGGCAGGTGGAGCCTGCTTGGAGGAAGTAGGTCACTGCGGTGAGGCGTGGCCTTGGGAGTTGTCTGTTGCCATGGCTCTTTCCTCTGTTCTACTCCATTTTGTGCCTACCTTGAGGTGAACAGCATGCTTCCCACAATCCCCACCGTGATGGGGGAAAGCCTCCAAAACCATGGCTCAAAATAAATTGCTCATGCTGGTATTTTGGTTACAGCAAGGAGAAAACTGACCCACGTGTATTAACAGCAATCGCTGTTAGCTGTGGCAATGATGAGCGTGAGGAACTTGATTAAACAGCCCCACTGTGGTCACAGAGGCATGCCTAAAAAGGTATGTCAAAATCATGTTGTGAGCCAGGCGGTGGTGGTGCGCGCCTTTAATCCCAGCACTCTGGTTTTTCGAGACAGGGTTTCTCTGTAGCTTTGGAGCCTGTCCTGGAACTCCCTTTGTAGACCAGGCTGGCCTCGAACTCACAGAGATCCGCCTGCCTCTGCCTCCCGAGTGCTGGGATTAAAGGCATGCGCCACCACCGCCCGGCTGAGGCTGGAAGTTCTGGAGTGGATAGAAGTGATTGAACAAGCAGAAGCAATGTGGAAAGGACTGAGGTAGACTGTGCCGTCTTTGCATGACTCCAGGAATGCTATCATGTTTCTTCTGCAATCCTCTTTCCCACCCCTAACTGAACCACTAGAGACTGTAGGAGAGACTTTGAAATGGAAGTGGAAAATCATATGATGGCCTAGCTGTAGCTCCAAACAGTGTGGCGTTTGTCCAGTAGGAGTAGGAGACTCGTATCCTGGCCTTCCTCTACACTTGCCTCAGACTGTTAGTCCCCTTTCCCACAGTAAGTTAGCCACATCTTCTGCAGGCTGTTCTTTTCCTGAGTTGCTACCTCAGCCTCGGGTGAAAACTGATTTAACTAATCCAGCTTGTGAGATGGCACTGCCCTCTAAGACACAGCTCTTTCCTGACACACGACTGAACTTTGGGCTCCATTTAACGCCTATCATTCTGTCACTCTGCTTTTCGGTGTGGCTTGTTGGCTGGTACCAATCATGAAGGCATAAGCAATAGAAATTGAAAGTGAATGCTTATAAAACAACAAAATCGTTCTTCACCACAGGTAGTGTGAGAAATATTACTCCATCAGACAAAATCCTGGATAGGAGACTCATGAAGTTTAGTGATTGAATAATTGGATTCCTTTCGTGTGCCAGGCCCTGCGTGAGGCCTTGGGGAATAAATGTCAGCTTCTCTGTGCTGGGGAACTTTGATGGGAATGAGCCAAGGCAAGAAAGAATGTGGACAGACAAGATAAGCCACATAAAGAGAATGAATAATTTAAACCCAGAAAAGGGGTAGGGAGCACACTCTGGATTTGATGGTCAAGCAAGTACATCTTCGGGAAGGCAGCAGCTTGGCTGAGACCTGAATGACAAAGAACATTCTGGACAGAGGAACAGCTATTCTGGAGTAAGTTTGACCTGACTCAGGGACCACAATCTCTAAAGCCAACGGTCTTCATAAGAGGAGTGGTTGGGGTTTGGGGACTGTTGCTTCTTACAATGAGCTACTTTCAATTTCCCTAAATGTGTCCCCTTGAGACACACTAGTGGCCAGGCCCCTCCCCCTGAGGACCTCCAACTGCCAGGTTCCACCCACAGAACACTCCTAACTGCCCTACTAGCTGAACCCAGCCCGTACCCTACAAAGCCCAAGCTCTGAACTTGAAACCCCACCAGTCCCACCCTGGAAGGCTGCACTCTGAAACGGTCCACCCCCACTCTCCAAGAAACTGTTTAAACCCTGCCTTCCGCTCAGTTCTCTGCTGTTTCACGCCCAAGCAGAGGCAGCCACCCTCATGGGGTTTTCCCTTCCAGTGACTCTCTTGTGTGACGTTTGTTGTGCAGTGTGACTTGTGGTATTCTTTGGCTCCCAACTGCTAGGACCCTTCCATCAGAGCTGTAACTCACCCTAAATGGGTCACATTTTCTTTCCTCTTTGTACTTTTTTTTTTTCCTGTTTTTTCTTTATGAACTCTTGCGGCACGAAGGGTTGAGTTTTACTGCCTGCATTCTGCTCCCACAGCTGGCTGGCTTACAGTATATTGTATTAATATGTTTATAGGCTTTAGTTTGGTGTTATCATTGTTGACTGTATCTGTCTTTCATCCCAGAACTAACTTGTCAGGCAAAAAAGATTTCTATTTTGTTTCTTATAGCTCTAACAGTTATGAAAGTACTAGACTGATTAAATGGACATCTAGTCAAAAATAAGTGAGATGGAATGAAATACTCCTTGTGGCAAGGTGAAGGCCTCCTGTTCTTTCACAGGAATAGAAGAATCTTACCAGCTCTGCTTAAAAGTGGAGAAGAAATGCCTTTCTTCTGAACCCAGCTTTCCCTCTCCCAATGACAACCCAAAAGATATAAGCACAAAGTAAGAGCTGAGGCTGTAGTACAGCGCTAGAGTATTTGACTAGCATGCACGGGATCCTTGGTTCAATCCCAGCACCACCAGAAAGAAAAAGGAAAGGAAGAGAGGAGAGAAGAAGCAAGCAAGCTAAATTTCGAGTAAATTACCAAGTGTTCAGGCCTTGGATCCTCTTATTCTGGAATTCTTTCTTCTTACCACTGAATTCTCTATTTCCCAGGAGAGCCAGACAGTTCCGTGGTGTCTTCAAGAGGCCTTCAGGGAGCCAGAGGGATGACTCAGAGACTACGAGCACCCGTGGTCTTGCAAGTTCAGTTCTCAGCACCCACACAGTGACTCACAGCCGTCCGTAACTCCAGTTCTAGGGGATCCCATGACCTCTTCGGACCTCCATAAGTACCAGGCAGGCTCGTGGCGCACAGACTTGCAGGCACAACACTTATGCAAATGAGATAAAATTATTTAAAAAGAGAGAGAGGGAAGACTTCAGATCTCCTATAGTGGTTTTCCTAATGGCTGATTTGGGAAGAAATGGTCAGTCAGTACCTGGGAGTTGACTTTATATTGCGAATCTCCAATAAGTACAAACAGATGTTGAAATAGATTCCAGTCAGTGATTTCACAAACACTGAAGGTGAAAAATATGTAGTCTTAAGTCCCAAGCTGAGACTCGGAGGAAAAAAGTTCTCTTTGTAACTGAAGAAAGAACTGAGGAAAGGAACAGGGGTAGGTGTCTTCCCATAGACCCATAGAGAATCTTCAAGTTAAACTTACACCTGTGACAGAATGGGTACCTCTATGCTTCCCTGGTGAGACAACTTGCCAAAATGTCCAGTTCAAAGACTCTTTCATTCCCTTTGACTGTGACAGTGAAGACATCTGTAGATGGAAGCCACCATTAGTCCCCTGCAGTCTTCAGAGGAAGCACACGGAGGAACCCTGTTACTGTAATGACTTCGGGAAGGCACTTATCACAACCCAGATGGTCATCTCGTCAAGAAAACTCTCACTTCAGAGAAACTATGCCTCTGTGGTCAGTGTGATGAGAACTTCACATCAGAGACCCCACCTGAAAGGAAAGAGCTGTGGGCGTGAGCAGTGTGGGACGGGCTTCCCCAGGAGCAAGCCTGTTTGTCCATCAAGCGATCTACATGGATGAGAAACCTTACAAGTGTGACAGATGCGGGAAGGGCTTCACCAGGAGCTCAAGTCTGCTCGTCCATCACGCAGTCCACACAGGGGAGAAACCTTACAAGTGCGACCGGTGTGGGAAGGGCTTTAGTCAGGGCTCCAAGCTACACATCCACCGGAGAGTCCACACTGGAGAGAAGCCCTATGAGTGTGCGGACTGTGGCATGAGCTTCAGCCAGCGGTCAAACCTGCACATCCACCAGCGTGTCCACACAGGAGAGAGGCCGTACAAGTGTGGAGAGTGTGGGAAGGGCTTCAGCCAGAGCTCCAACCTCCACATCCACCGGTGCACCCACACGGGAGAGAAGCCCTACCAGTGCTGTGAGTGTGGGAAGGGCTTCAGCCAGAGCTCAGACCTGCGCATCCACCTCAGAATGCACACCGGGGAAAAGCCCTACCACTGTGGCAAGTGTGGGAAGGGCTTCAGCCAGAGCTCCAAACTCCTCATCCATCAGAGAGTGCACACCGGAGAGAAGCCCTACCACTGTGGCAAGTGTGGGAAGGGCTTCAGCCAGAGCTCCAATCTCCACATCCACCAGCGGGTTCACAGGAAGGACCTTCCTTAAGTAACATGGGCCTGCTCGGTTCAGAACACTTTTATTGTAAGGATGAATATTTTTCATGGCTGAGGGTACAGATCAGTAGTAGAGTGCCTGCCTAACATGCATAAAGCCCTTGGTTCAGAGCCGTGAGGTGGTGGTGCCGGCCTTTAATCCCAGCACTTGGGAAGCAGAGGCAGGTGGATCTCTGTGAGTTCTAGACCAGCCTGGTCTACAAGAGCTAGTTCCAGGACAGGCTCTAAAGCCACAGAGAAACCCTGTCTCAAAAAACCAAAAAAAAAAAAAAAAAACCCAAAAAAAATAAATAGGGGCTGGAAAGATGGTTCAGTGGTTAAGAGTACTGACTGCTCTTCCAGAGGATCCAGGTTCAATTCCCAGCACCCACATGGCAGCTCACAACTGTCTGAAGATCCAGTTGCAGGGGATCTGACACCTTCATACCAATGCACATAAAGTTAATAAAACCATGAAAAGAATAAATAAATAAATAAATAAATAAATAAATAAATAAATGAATAAATACATAAAGCAAGCCCTGGGTTTGAGTTCCAGTACCTGCCCCACACATTTCCAGGTTAATACTTTGGACTTGAAGGAGTGTGTGTGTGTGTAGAGGGGAGTACATGTGCTGTGCAGGCATGTGCATGCATGTGTGCACATGGCTGTGGAGCTCAGAGCATCTTGGGCACTTAGATGCCTGTCACTTTTGTTTGAGACTTGGGTTGATCACTTGGTCTGGAATGTTACTAGTAAGTCAGGCAGCAAATCCCGTGGCTCTACCTGTCCCTGCTTCCCAGCTCACCACAGCTAGGTTTACACATGTTTGGTGATGCCACACCCAACTCTTTTATGTGGATTCTGTTTGGAGCTTGCAAGACAAGAGCTTTACTGACTAAACTATCTCCCCACGCCCTGGCTTAATACTTTTGACTCTTACCTTTGTAGTCCGCAAAAGAAAAAGATAGTAAAGATTACTCAGATGTAGTCCCTCACAGAAAACAAAAATCAATCCTTCATTTAAAGTGTCTGAGCACCCTGCACATTTCACGCGCTACAATGAATGGACGATTCTGGTTCCTCAAATGGGCAGAGTGGACATTGCAATTCTGCTCATGTTGTTAAAAGTACATTCCACAATTTTAACTGCAGGAACTTTGTATCTTTCCAAGCACAGTATGCTTCCTTTGTTCGTATTCTCTGAGAAATTGGAATTCACGTTTCCATCCGAATTATGTGCCAAGTTTTTTTATATTCCTTTTACCTATTTAAGCCCTCTCGAAACTATGAACACGGTGTGTCCGTTTGAGGGTGGCGTGGGGAGCTGGCGGTACAGTGGACATGGAGATATGCTGTGTTCAACACAGAAACTGTGCGTCAGGTTATGGTCACTGGTCACAGTGCAGGAAGTGCTTCTCCACAGACTACTGTGATAGACAATGCTTCAGTCAGCCCCTCCTCTCAGGCAGCTGCTCAGGAATGTAAATAATTAGATTTTACTGAATGAAGTGAGTTTGTTGATAGTAAAAATAAGGGAGAACTCTCTGAGGCGACAAATCCAAAGTCATTAGGAGAGTAAAGCTAGCATTGAGTGCAGCTGAGAACAGATGATCTAGCAGAAGTTCTGAGGCAGAACTGGAGAAAGCTGGGACAGGTGGGACATGTGGCAGCCAATCAGCAGAGGCTGCAGAAACCATCTTAAGACTTGATGAGTCGTCGGCCAGTGGTGATGCACAGTTTTAATCCCAGCACTCGGGAGGCAGAGGCAGGTGGATCTCTGTAAGTTCGAGGCCAGCCTGATCTACTAGAGCTAGTTTCAGGACATGCTTCAAAGCTACAGAGAAACCCTATCTCGAAAAAGGAAAAAAAGAAAAAAGAACAGCCAAAGCAAACAAACATTTGATAAATTCAAATTGGCTTATGGAGAAAGTACTAAAGATGGGCCTTTGGTAGGCAGGTCTAATTTGCAGGACAGTGCTAAATTCTGCCCTAGGAATGTTTATTTAAAGATGGCAGCAGGACTGTCTACAAGAGGACATCAAGACAAGGATCTCAGCAAAAACTTAGAGGCTAGGAAGATGGGTGGGTGGGCATGGTATCTGTACAGAAGTAGGCATGGTTTATGCCACTCACATAAGGGGATAAGGAAAAGAAGGCCTGTTTTGGTTTTAGGCCAAGAACTGCTTAATAAAACGAAGGATGGGAAGGAAGCATGATGGGAAAGCCATGACACTAAGGACCGAGGATATGTGGAACATTCCCTTCATCCCACGAATACATATTCTCTTCTGTAGCCAGATTGTAGTTCTCTATTTCCTGTTTTCTCCATTTGCTGTTTCATCAATTTTAAGCTCCTACTTTACCACCTCCCTCTCTTTGCTTTGTGTTAAGTGTGCCTTTGCTTTTGAGATGGGCTCTGCAGCCCAGGCTGCCCTTGAATTTATGATCCTCCTACCACATAGGATGATCCTCTTCACACCTGGCTTTTTCTAGTCTCTGGGAGAAATTGCTATGTATAGCCAGCCAGCCAGAACTACCCTCCAGTAAAATCTGGGATGTTTCTTCTGGCTTTGGGATCCTACAGTAGAGCAGCTCCTGAGCTCTGATATATAAAGTTTCAAAGTTACAGATCCTTTACACATTAAAAGGAATAAGAGAATTTTAGTATCAAGTACACAACTTAGATACAATTTCTGTTAGTGGCATATACTAACAAATAAGACAAGAACTCTTGAATAGCTATTTCCTTAAAAAAAAAAAAAAAGTTGATGCTGGATAGATGGCTCAGCCGTAAAGCACACCTGTTGCTCTTGCCAAAGACCAAAGTTCAGTTCCCAGCACCCATATGGTAGCTCACAACCATCTGTGACACCAATTACAGGAATCCAATGTCATTTTCTTATCTCCATAGGAATCAAGAATGCATATGGTGCACATACATACATGCAAGCAAAGCACATAAAATGAATAAATCTAATAAAATTAGATTTATTTATTTTAATTATTTTTTGTTTATTTATTTTTTGAGACAGAGTTTCTCTGTGTATCTCTGTCTTGGAACTCACTCTGTAGACCAGGTTGGCTTTGAACTCACAGAGATTCACTTGTCTCTGCCTCCCCGAGTACTGTGATTAAAGCTGTATGCTACCATTGCCTGGCATATTGATTTATTTTGTTTATATTCAGGCATCCAAATTCTCTCAATAAAAAAGCCAAAGAAAGTGCTGGAGAGATGGCTCAGAGGTTAAGAGCACTCTCTGCTCTTCTGGAGGACTCTAGTTCAATTCCCAGCACCCACATGGCAGCCCACAACTATCTGTAACTCCAGTTCCAAGGGATCCAATACCCTCATACAGGCATACATGCAGGCAAAACATCAATACACATAAAATAAAAATAAAACTTGTTTGTAAAAAACAAGTTTTGTTTTTCAAGATAGGGTTTCTCTGTGTAGTTTTGGAGCCTATCCTGGCACTTGCTCTCTGGAACAGGCTGGCCTTGAACTCACAGAGATCCGCCTGCCTCTGTCTTCCTAGTACTGGGATTAAAGGTGTGCACCACCTGCCTAACTTCAATTTCTTTTCAGTGACTTAAAATTTTATTGCATAAGTCTTTCACTACTTGGTTAGATTTCTTCCAAAATTTTGTTTTAAGTTTTGGTTAGGCCGGGTCTACAAGAGCTAGTTCCTGGTTAGGCCGGGTCTACAAGAGCTAGTAGCCTGGTCTACAAGAGCTAGTTCCAGGACAGGCTCCAAAACCACAGAGAAACCCTGTCTCGAAAAACAAACAAACAAAAAAAAAGTTTTGGTTAGTGTGAGTGGTATTGTTTCCTGATCTCTTTGTTTGTCATTTATACATAGAAAGACTACTGCATTTCGTAAGCTTTGTATCCTGCTACTTTGAATGTTGTTATCAGATGTAAAAATTGCTTGGTGGCGTCTTTAGGGTCTTTATTTGTAAAATCTTATCTGAAAATAAGTATTCCTTGACTTCTTCCTTTCCCATTTGTATTATCTCTATCACTGGTCTACTGTTCTAGGCAGGAGTTATAAGTACTATATTGAACAAGAAGAGAGAGTGGACATCCTTGTCTTCTTCCTGATTCTAATGGAAGTGTTTTGATTTTTTTTTCCCCCATGTAGCAGATGTTGGCTGTGAGCTTGTTGGTGTTGTCATAATTTATATTGAGCTATATCCCCTGTATCCCTAGATTCTCCAGCACTTTTATTATGAAGGGATGTTGGATATTTTCAAAGGCTTTTTCTGCATCTAATGAGATGATCATGTAGATTTCTGTCTTTGAGCCCATTTATGCGGTTCATTATATCCATGAGTTTGAGGCCAGCCTGGTTTACAAACTAGATGAATTTATTGGGGGCTTACAGTCTGAGGGGTTATAGTCCATAATGGCTGAGTTGTAGCAGGCAGCTGGAGCAGCGACTGAAGCTAATATCTCAAACACAGTCACAAGCAAGCAAGATGCAGAGAAAGTTAACTTTCATACCTCAAGGCCCACCCCTAGTGACATCTACAAGATGCCCTCTAGAAATTTGGCTGATAAGGTAATTCTGAGTTTCTGTTAAACAAGAAAAAGGAGTAGGCTTGGGGTGGGGGCAGGAGGCTAAGACAAGGTTTGGGTCTTCTGAACTTTCAAGTGACTATGCAGAGAAAATGGATGCATGCATCCCGCATGTGAAAACAGAGCATCACTAGAGAGATTATCGAGAGATCTGGTCCAGAGAGGGCTGATGAGAACAGATGACACTGCCAAGAGGAGCCTGAGACAAGGAGATGATGAAATCAACACAGGAACTGCCAACAGACCACACAAACATTCAGACATAGAAAGAAAAGATAAAACCTGTGAACAATGAAGGAAGGAAAATAAAGAGCACACGGCATCCTGGAAGTAAGGAGACTCAGAAAAAAAGCGATCAATGGGTTAGAAGGTCACAGGCAAAACAAGGGAGACTCAACCTTGGGAAGTCACCCCGAGAGCTCTTCAGTAGTAAGGAGCAGGACAAAGCTAAGGCTTTGAGTCTCTCGCATGCTGCTGATCTCTGGCTCATCTTCACACAAACAGAGACAGTAAGAAAAACTAACTGTGAAAAGCCTTTAGTGTGACTGAGGACATGTGAATTGGTACAGGTCATCACTCTGATCTTGGAATAAGCACCAACTTTCCCCCATCTAGGGATGACAAATTAGAAACAGTCACACCTCTGTTCTAAGGGACAAACTAAAACACAGAGT